TCTTGAGTACAGTGAATGATATATATATAATAGGATTTATGAATGCTGATGCCCCTTTAGGGCCAAACATACATCCGATATACAATTTTCAATAACATTAATATAGCAATAAAGTAAAGAAAATAGGATTACATTCTTCAAATGACATATGAAATATGAAAGTTGGGAAGTGGTATTATGATTAAGAAGAAATCCTGACTGAAAACTGTAAAAGAGGTTATTTTGGATCATGTGATTGAAAATTCTATCATAAATAATCTTTTCCAGAACTTTAGATTAGGCATTTAAGATAGATCTATCTCCCTCCTTATGTAACGGAACAATAATACCCTCCTTCCAAATCTTTTGGAAGCAATGAGATGTAAAAATTTTGTAAAAAAGCAAACTCAGTGGTTCACATATCGTCTCAGCTGATAAAATTAGCATTCTATTATTTATTTTATCTGTCCCCTCCCCCTTTGAGGTGTCATGTGGTACGAGCAGAGGCTAATATTTGTCCGCACTCCCGCGTATGGGAGTATACATCCGGGTCACTACAATTGCGAAATCTATGGATATTTGTGATGTTATGATGGTTTTGTTGAGATGGATATTTCTGAAACATAAGTAAAATTCGTAAGGAAACGGATATAATTTTCATCAACAATAGGAAGTTGTCAATATAAGTGAATGATCTGGAAAATCGGGTAAGTCACAGCTGACAAAATAATGTCAGAAAAGAAAAATGTAATTGTAGAAAATTATCAAAACAGAGGTTGATTATGTTTTTTGAAAAAAATTGTCAGTTTCACATTTTTTTTACAAAATATCACTATTAAGGTGTCTGAACACAATTTTCGTCATCTTATTGCATTATGTGCTTATAACCTATCCAATGAGGTGCTGCAGTATGAATACTTTTTACATTTTCCTGCATTTTTTGGCTTTGATCAAAATGTGGTAACTTTACGAGGATAACTTCCTTTTTACTTTTATATGATTATTGAGTCAAGGCTTGCTCTATTGACTTCTTTTTCCTTCTAGACGAATTCCTGTGTAGAAAACCATATTTTAGTGCACATTGTTGTACTTTATGCTAGTCTAAGATTCTCATCCATGTTTGACTGTTATATATTTGAGAGGTGGTTCACTCTGGATGGTGGTAATATTTGGTGCTACTTATTTTGGCAGATTTGCTCTTGAACATATGGCGTGACTTGTAATATTGAAAAATCTGGCGAACTTCAAAGGATATGAGCCCAATTTTATCAATGTTGCTATCTGTTGACTTTCGTTTGATTAGTAAATTGTCATTGGTTCTTTGAAAGTAGTTGAAAATGGACATATTATTGGCTGCTATTGTACAAAAGTGACGAATCTGAACAAATTGGAAAGAAAGTATTCAACCGGAAGATGTGCAGGGGTTTCACTAGTTCAACAAGTTAACCCAATACCACGGCTTTCATTTATTAATCTGAGTGTTCTTGTTGCCGTGATTGGGTTTAACTTCCGTGCTATGCTTTCATTGGTTGCAAATTCTCACTATAAGTTATTAATAAAATGTGCATGGAATTCCATGCGCTGCTATAGGCCACCATTAAAAAATTTTGCATCAAGGGCACAGACGTTAAACTTAGAGCGGGCCACAAGATATGTCAGATAAGAAATAAGGCCCAGACTAGGTTTAACTTGTTGAACTAGGGTTTCACTAGAATTTCCCCCAACAGGCTACTGTAAGTAAATGAAAACAACAGGCAAAATTTTGATATTTTTACATATTGTAGATTTTAATGTCCTCTTTTGAATATCCATAATTTAATTTGGGTGATATTTCTATATCTTTCATAAAAAATTATTAGCGCAGTGCACTGATGAACTTCTCTATCCAAATCGAGACTTGTCTTTTTTGAATCGGTCTACTGCATATGCTTCAGACAATTTTGATATTTTTATCTTGTAGATTTAAATGTCCTCTTTTGAGACACGATTTCCAAAGGAAGTGTCTGACTCTCATTAGTTGTTCAATGGGATTTGTTATGCCTTGGTGCTGCTATTATCTTGTATAATATTATCTATTATACAATATTCTATATGATAATTTGAACACTCGATGTAGCTTTGCATCTTGTGATTTCTGATTGTGATTTACAGTTAAAGACATGTATGATCAGAATATGATACAGATAATTCATTCATATTGTATTATGTTCTGCTAAAAGATTTTTCATAATGTCATTAACAGGCATCATGACATTCTAAATGCACTTGTATACTTATTTCTCTGAAATGCTATTGTATTCATCTGTACTAAAACATTTGAAAAACATCTCAGTTTTTTTTATTAAGATTTGATCTGTTCTTGTTGAAAATTAGAGTAGTTTTAGGGTTTCTACTATGAAAAGGGTAAATGCTAAAATACAAGCATACAGGCTTACAAGCTTGTTTCTTCAGGGGTGGCATATCTGTTAGTAGAATTATTCATCTATATTTTCAACCAGGTCGTAATAACATCTATGCCACAAGGTGCAATAAAAATGCATAATGGGTCGATCATATTGCAATCCAGACTTATTATGCTTACCACCTTAGAATTTGCTATAATACAACATATAAGCCTTTCATGTATATCTATATATTGTACATTTGTATGTTTATTATTTTCTGTTTTATAACTAGAGCCCAAACTCTGCAAAATGTTGATTTATATCATACCAATACAAGGCTGGATATGATCTGAAACAGTTCATGGGATCATAAGAATTCTCAGTGTACTTTGTAACATTACTAATAGCTATTTAATTTTAATCATGGTCTGTATCTTTAAGCTTGGCTTATATAGATCCAAAGTTCAGAGATATCAAATATGCGCAGACTTCTTTAGCAGTTCAAAAATCAATAAAGTATAAAATAACATCATCTACTCCAGGTAATTCATCTAAAAGGTAGGTTTCATGTCTTTATGTCATTAAAGGAGATCAATACATGCTTCTAATGTTGAAGATTAAAGATTGAAATCCATGTGGAAATATGTAAGTATTTGATATCTTTTTAGAATGTTCAACAGACAGTATCTGTAGTATTCAACTGCCAATGGCCTTACTAGGTCAAGTTGTCTTCAAGGCCCATTGTGTTTTCGGTCATGTAAATGATATTAGTGGAACTAGTTAAACTGACTGGAGGTCCAAACAGAAATCTGTTATCTTGGTTCAAAAGATTTTCAAAATCCAGCATGGTTTTGTCACTTTTTGTTTTGTCATTTCCTGTTAACTTCCATGGCACCTTAATAAATATAATATAATAATAATCAAATATAATTAGATGTCAATTCTATGTGTTAAAGATTAAAAGCAAACACATTTGAAAGCATGTTATTTTTATTTGCTACATTAAATAGTTTATTCAAGCCATATTATTTGTATTTCGCTACATTTATAAGTCGATTTAAGGTCAGTCTAATATGTTCAGAATTTTGTTGCAATCCTCTATTGAGTTGCATGTTTATTTTTTCAAATATTATCACTCCTTCCTCACATTTTCTACATCTTTCAGTTTAGCACAGAGTGCACTAAAATACCTAAAAAGAGCGTAAAGAATATTTTTTTCATAAAATGTACAAAAATGAGAAAGTTCAGTGAGAAAATTTAATGACCTACTATCACTGGGTTTTCTCGTTTTTTTATTTAAATTAGTGCACGCTTTGTGAAAAACTGAAAGATGTAGACAATGAGAGGATTAGGAGTGATTAACATTTGAAACGCATTAGAATGCCGAACATATAGTTATAGTTAAACCAAATTACTACAGGTGTAGACTCGTCCCAGCTAATGATCATACAGTATTTCTAAAAAAGGATTATCAATTCTATTTTGAAAGACATGTCTTCAACTTAGTTTAAATGAACAAAGTCTTATATGTCATATTTCTGGAAGTTCTGTTGAATATTGCTGAACCTACATTTCCATTCTATTATCCATTTCATTATCGTTTCAATACTCGTCTAAACTGAATTTTTTAGTGTGACATTGCTCTCAGAGGAAACATAAAGATATAGGTGTCTCTCTTTCTAACAAGTACATGATTAGGATAAATATTTTTGTTTCTTGTGTTTATTAAATTGCACCGCTGGCACACACTGTGAGTAGTGCCGCAAGCTAAGTGGGTACATTTTGAGCATGTCTGAGAGCCATATTTGCATCATAAATACAAATCTCTAAAAACATCTTTTAGAAGGGGCGGGGGCAGTTGCCCTCAACACCCCTCCCCTTTAGACAAGTTTGATATAGGGGCAATTGCCTAGACCCAATAATATTCTAATAACAATAGTCATATAGATGAGTTAAAAGATGATAGTATTCAACTCAGTTTCACGGTTAGTTTTCTGAAATCTTATTTTTTGACATCTTGACAAATACTTTTCTACAAAATTGTTGAAATTGAAGCACTTACCCACAATTTGCCTAACTAAACCTATACAGTATAATTAGGCTAAATGTTTCATGCAAACATTAAGCTTTAAGATAGATTCATTTTATATTAAATGAAAGGGTATAGGCAGGTATTATTAATTTTTATATGAACTTAAAATATTTTAGCTACATGTATCTATGCTCTTTAATTTAGCCTTGCCTTGTGCAGATTAATGCCATATATCAGGAGTCTGTAAGATAACTCTCTCTTACTACACACATAGACAATTTATGTGGATCATTTTTGTCTCTTACATATTTGTCAACATACAGGTTTTTATATGTGTTTGTAGCATGACAACAGATATTTTTGTTGCAGCTAAGGTTGTGAGAATATATTGAAGGTCTTCATCAGTCTATCCAGCAGTCAGTTTATCTCTATCCAAATGAAATAATGCCAGTCAGTTATATTTCAGTATAAGTTATAATATACTTATTAAAGCAAAGCTTTTATTAGAATTATATATATATGCTGTAATAGGAAGAAAGCATTGTCTCTCATGTTTCCTGAATAGCGTATGTATTAAACCATAATGCTGTCTCTTTACGTTTCAGTATGCTGGGATTACCAATGTGGATAAGGTGCACCTGCTAACAGGTGAAAAGGGAGAATCTGGCAACTGAGAATGCAGTAGCAACAAGACCACTAGGAGGACAAGCTGGTAGATTGAGGAGTAGCTCCATGGAGGAACTGCAGATACGATGCCTTATTTTCTTGGCTATGTTCTGCATGATCCCTACAGCAACAAATGCCAACATATATGATTTATACGGAGGTAAGATTCAAGTTAATGCTGATATAAATTCTGATACTCATAGCATCTTTCTGTTTCACCTGAAACATGGGCTGAGAAGATTTGAGATGTCATGGTTTATCATGATGGCTGATATATGACACTTTGGTAGCATTGTTTGATGATGTTACAGGTTTCTTCTGTAGATTCATTTTAATCTCATTGGAATCTCATTTCAATGACATTTGCCTAGGTTTTCATAATTACCCATCTATGCTTAATCTGATGAAATATTTAAAATAATCTGTGCACATTTCTCTACTATAACAAGTGAATGATAAAAGAAGACACTGACCAGTAAAGGGTCTATAGTTGCTAACTGGCTGCCAAACTATTTTGACTCTTTAAAAAACATGCCTCACCAAAGATTAATGCAAAAATAAAAAATACATAGTCCTAATTTGTTTTTTATTACCCTTTCCGTTCGTTTGACTTCACTTCTTAAAAGAGAGCTTCGTCTTCACTTTTCAAACTAAAATAAACCTGCGAACTCACCGCGCAAATCAGTGTTCGTCGGCCAAATTTGACCGACGTCCTATATATGGTCATTCCTTCTGACGTCATCATTGAGCCCGGAATTGACCAATGACATGCGCATATTTAATTAGAACGCATTTGGCGTATGTTTTTTCAAGCTCACTGATTGGTGGAAGAAAGGTCAGTGCGTATGTCAGAAGTAATTTATTACCCAAACTGTCACCAATACCCGTCGTGGGGGCGGGGCTACTAAACTGTAATATGGTCTCTACTAGGCAGAGTGTACTTTAACTAGACTCTGCACGCAGGGTAATTTTTTATTATCTCAGTTACATTTTGATTGTATCAATTGTATCGATCATTTCCATGTAAGGGGAGGCAATGGCAAATTAGGTTAATATTTTCTATGGCTCATTTACACCTTAATTAACACATTGTATGTTGTGTGTTATCTTTTACTTAGAACACCTTCATTTGATTGGTTACAGAAAATGTTATCAACATTCCTTGGGGAAATGAATATACTGTGAATGATGTAAATGATACTGACAGTGATAGACCAATAGCACTCAAACTATTAGAAAATCCTACACAATATGTATATCTCTATAGACTATACAGATAAAATCATCTATGTGTGATATTGAATAGATTTTGAATTATTTCAATACATTTTTTAATGATTTCTGTTATGCCCCACAAGTGCAGAAAAAACACTGAGGGTTAATAACATAAACAACAATGTTTCACATTTGCTTTCAAATATCTAACACGATTGTGTTAATATTTGATATCTACGAACAATAGATACAATAGATGATATCACTAGGAATGATTTGATATTCGGTTTATCCCAGGATTACAATCAAAAATTCATAAAATAATCATTTTGCACAATATATGTTTTGACTTAAAAACTGTAAATCAAAATGAGCTGTCCAATGCAAGGGTATTGTTTTGATATTGGATCAGAACTGGCACCCAACAAGATTTAGATTTATCGTATGATCTGTAAAATGAAGCCTTCTGATTGGTCAGTTCTTGTACTATACCAATCTGTATTGCTACTTAGATTGTCCCCGTTGATCATCTCTGTCGCAATACAGAACATATTGGTACGGAGGGGACAATCTCAGTAGCAATACAGAGGATCACACGATAAAAAAACGTTATTGAATGATTTGAAGTGCAATACAGGATATATTCTGTCTCGATTTTCTGTATTGTCACTCGACTTCGTCTCGTTCCAAAAATTTCTCGAGCAGAATATATCCTGTATTGCACTTCAAATCATTCAATAACTTATAACCTCACTTATAACCTCACATATCATCGTACCATTGGTTTCTATGAGTACTAAAATTTTGAAATGTAGTTTTCTCAGAACCATTTTCATGCACTGATAAGTTCATTTCTCGCTTATTTATGAACCGATTTTCTTAATTTTTTCGGCGAAAACATAGGAGGATGAATGCTATGCATTGGTATGAATTGTGGCTAATTAGAAGATATGAGTGACCTCTAAAAGTTGGTTATAAATAAATTCACAAATTTTGGAACAAAAAGTCTATCAAAAACCACTTTTTGTAAAATTTAAAAAAAAAGTTTCACATATCACACTTTGATAACATTGTGTAAGACTACAATATAAGCCAAAGTGGTTTAAACTTTATATGGGGCCTTTAAAACGTCCATTAACTTAACAAATACTGTTTAGACTGACTTCAGTTTTCAGAAGTTCAAATCTGACTTTATATTTAAGATTTGACCTTCAGTGATCTTTTTTAGCTCACATGGTGAGCTATTGCAATCACTCACTTGTCTGTCTGTCTGTTTGTCTGTCCATCCGTCCATCCATCCATCCGTCCGTCCGTCTGTGTCCGTTCATCCGTCCGTCTGTCTGTCAACAATTGGCCCATTTTAAAACCTCTGTCAATAGGATTCCTGTTTTAAGTTATTTTTGTTCAACATCAATATAGAAAACCCTCCTATGACTCCTGGTTCAAAAGCTTGCCCTTTTTTAAAATGGCCGCCATTTTTGTCTCGCGAAATTTCCTTTTGGACCATTTGCTTTAAAACCTGTGTCGATAGGATTCCCGTTTCAAGTTATTTTTGTTCAACAGCAATACAGTAAATTCCCCTATGACTCCTTATTCAAAAGCTCACCTATTTTCAAAATGGTTGCCATTTTTGTCTCGCGAAATTCACTTTTGGCCCATTTTCTAGCTTTACAAATAATTTCAGGTGTTCTGCATTGCAAAAAGCTATGTCACTGTAACAATAATTTTGTTACAAAAAATCGGCAAAAAATTATATCTGTTTTTTTTGCCATTTTAGCCATCATTCACTTTTGAGCAACCCCAAATGAGCCCAGTACCCACGGTACTATTTATAAGGTCAAAAAGGTCAAAAAGCCCATTTTTGACCTTCTCAAGGTAAAAACAAGTAAAAAAGGTCTTTTTTCAACTTGCTTCAAATTGACCAGTTTATTTTTCAAAATCATCTAGAAGTTCTCAAAAGTTCAAATCTGACTATAGATTTGACCTTCAATGAGATTCTCAAGGTTCAAAAAATGTTTGACCTTCAATGACTTTCTCAAGGTCAAAAAGGTATTTTTTTTCAAAATCATCTATGAGTTGTCAGAAGTTCAAGTCTGACATAAGATTCAACTAATTATATTGTGAGCAACTAGGTGGTGACATTTTGTCATGTAAATGCCTTGTGGAAAGTTACAATGTTTCAAAAAGATTGCAAATTTTCCCTTGTGTGTTATTTTACATTTTTTACGATAACTCAAAAAGCAATAGAGCGATTTTGTTCATATTTGATATGTGAACACTCGTAAGCATGGCACACTGTTTCATGACATTTTGGGTAGTGGGCAGTCATTTTAAAAAATGGCTACCATTTACATGTGCGTGTCTGTGATTTATAATTTTTTTATATGTGCCTACATAAAATCATATTCCTTTTTCTGATGGCAACTTGGCTATTGAGCAACCATTTTGCAAATGGTGGCCTCTCTTATGTGTGTTATTTTACGATATTTGCTATATTTTTCATTTGTAAATATGCTAGCCATTGCTGTTTAATGTGATTTGCTACGCTTTGGCGTTGCTGTTTACTAGTTATTATTGTAAAAGATGATTGCAGAAAGATATAACAGTACACAAAAATATGCAACTAGCTACTATAATATTTTCTTGTACTATTTGCTATGCATATATACCAGGTAAATTGATTTGGGACAGAGACATTCTGTTTGAAACATACTGCTGTTTTGTAGATAAAATTTTTTATTGCAAATAATAGCAAAAACACTCATTTCTAATGCCTTTCTAATTTCTTTACCTTGCTTGAGTACCACTTTTGGACTTAAGTCCATTTCAATGTTCTATTTTTGTCAATAAAACCAAAAAGTAAGGAATCAAAAGACCACGGGGGTAATATATGGGAAAATATATTGCCCACTAATGGCATTTGTATATATATATATCTTTGATTGCTTGTGGTTTGGCACATAAAGTACGCTGGCTTTTATATTTTGATGCCTTTCTGCCTTGTTATTATCGAAAAAATTAACATGGCTGAAACTCCTTGAATTACAAGAGGCTATATAATAATAGGTTCATTGCCCTAAATCTGAAATATATAAATGTCTTTCATGTACAATATGAATATATTCTTCCATATATTACAACTGAGTGGTCTTTTGTTTCATCAGATTTTCTCCAAATTCGCACACATCATAGAGGATATCAAGTTCTAGAGCTGATCAACTTTTGGAGAGCCATCTTGTTTTCTGGTGGCCATTTTGAAGGTTTCTCAATAAATCTTGTCTTTTTTAGCTCACATGTGAGCTATTGCAATCACTCACTTGTCCGTCTGTCTGTCCATCCGTCCGTCTGTCAACAATTGGCCCGTATTAAAACCTTATTGCTTGAGTACCAAAAGTTCAAAAGCTCACCCATTTTCAAAATGGCCGCCATTTTTGCCTCGCAAAATTCACTTTTGGACCATTTTCTTTAAAACCTCTGTTGATAAGATTCACATTTTAAGTTATTTTTGTTCAACATCAATACAGAAAACTCCCATATGCATGGCTTAAAGGCTTCAGGAATTTCAGGAAAGGACGATTCTCGGTTTGGAGAACGAAGTTCATCAATCTCTGCTTCGGACAAATTTGATTTTTTACATAATATAGATTTGAATGTCTACTTTTGAACAGTCATAATTTAATTTAGGTAATATTTCTAGATTTTCCGCGAAAAAATATTAGCACAGTACACTGATGAACTTTTTTCCCCAAATCGAGACATGTATTTTATTGAATCGGTCAAATTGAACGTTATCCCTGCTTCAGACCAATTTGTAAATTTTACATCTTGTAGATTTAAATGTCCTCTTTTGAATATTTATAGTTTAATTTGGGTAATATTTCTATATTTTTCATTAAAAAATTATTAGCCCAGGAGAACCGAGAATCGTTCTTTCAGGAATAAATT